GAATAATCGTATTGATTTAAATTCCAACCTCTTATGCTCACAATCAAATTCATTATTGAACCAACTCTTCTACGTTTACTAATTAATTAAATTTTAAAATTCAAAAACCTGTCTCAAAATTCTGCTCTCGATCTTGGTTCAAGTGAGATTCTATAGCTCTTTTTGAAATAATTTTTAAAAAAAATTTCTCGTTGAAGGTGATGAAAAAGAAAGAACCTGCTCTGATTTCTTTCTACTATTCTTTTCAAAGTATAAGAGCCCTTCTTCTTTTTTTGAATAGCTTCTGACAGGAAGGAGATAAACAGTTGCGGTCTTCTCCACTCGGAAAGAAAGAAACTGGGGGCATGTTTCCATCAGCAGAAATCTTTTTAGAAGAGTTTCTTCAAATAAAAACATCTTCATCTCACCTGAACCAAGATCGAGAGCAGAATTTTGAGACAGGTTTTTGAATTTTAAAATTTAATTAATTAGTAAACGTAGAAGATTTGGTTCAATGATGAATTTGATTATGAGCATAAGAGGTTGAAATTTAAATCAATACGATTATTCGAACAAAATTGTCTGGGCAACATTGTCATTTGTGAGTGTTCTGTGTTTACAGAACAATTTTGACCAAAAGAGAGTTCTTTTATCATTGTTATCGATTTCGGCTAAGTAATCTCAGTTTGTTTACTAAAACACATTCTATGCATCTTCAACGATTTTCCAATTGGTTCATGACGTCAGTCATAATCAATTGTATATTCTAATTAACTCGCGGGAAATTCAAAGTTCGAGCATGATTTTTTTCGTTTATCTATACATTTGAATAAAGCAGATCGAGCTGGGTAAGAAAAGATGCTTTTTAATATTTTTTAAAACGTTTTAAGGAAGAAAAATTGAAAACGTTTGAAAAGGCTAAAATTTCGAACAAACCCTTAAGTTTCAGACAAATCCAAACTTTTTTTCGTTTTCGTTCGTCTAACTTTTTGAAAGCATTTTTCAGATTCAGCATGTAAAACTGAGTGTGAGAATGATGCTTGATCGTGGTTGAAGTCAAAGATCTATCCAGTATGCGGTCGTTTATGAAAATGTCGGATTTAGCGTTAAAAGCGGCTTCATCTCTTCACAAAAAACTAGATAGATTTGCAAAATTGTTTATGAACTTTTCACAGAGTGAGTTCAAGGCGTGCATACTGGATAGACCTTTGACTTCAACCTCGATCAAGCATCATTCTCACACTCAGTTTTACATGCTGAATCTGAAAAATGCTTTCAAAAAGTTAGAACGAAAACGAAGAAAAATTTGGATTTGTCTGAAACTTAAGGGTTTGTTCGAAATTTTAGTCTTTTCAAATGTTTTCAATTTTTCTTCCTTAAAACGTTTTAAAAAATATTAAAAAGCATCTTTTCTTACCGAGCTCGATCTACTTTATTCAAATGTATAAATAAACGAAAAAAATCATGCTCGAACTTTGAGTTTCCCGCGAGTTAATTAGAATATACGATCGATTATAACTGACGTCATAAACTGATTGTCACCTCCAGCAATAATAAGAAACACAAGAATTCGAGGCGAACGAGAATACGGAGAAGAAATTACTACTGAATGAAGTGAATCAAAAAGCTGTTACCAAACCACTAACAAGACGTTTAAGAACACCATAGAATCCAGTAGTTAGTCCACCATTAGATATCAGTTTTGTTCCGTCATTAACTACATTCTTCATAACATCTTTCAGCATCTATTCCACTACACCAGTTCTACCATGTCAGCGTCGCATCCAATACAATCTTGTTTCTTTAGACTGAGCATTTTTTATCTTATTATTAATCAAGCTATTTCAGAACTATGCTTTCTTGCTGGTGTTAGTACCACCAATACATTGGTTTTTTTGTTATTGAGCATGATCTAAAATAGTTTAATAACGAATTATTGAAAAAAATTCAGCAGCTGGTCAAAAAACAAACAAAACATAGCACTTTTGACTTGTTCATTACTGTTCTTACTAAATCTTACATACTGAAATATATTTTGTGAACATGAGGTTGTTTCAAAATTTTGCTCTACGCTAGAGCCTTGAACGATGATGGGATATAATCATCCTTTTGACAATTCCATGCAAGCAAACCACCTTCCTTTGGATAACTTTTATCGTAGATCACTTCACCTTTAGCAAAAAAGCCAGCCCACCAACTATAGGTACCTGTAGTAATTAGATTATGATCACACAAGGTCAATACAGCCAAATCATCAGCTGCCGAAAAATTGTACGGTGTGATGACCACATCATTTCTTAATCCCAAAGTCTCCTCACACCACAATTTATCATCACTAACAACGATGAAAAGCGGATTCGAGTATTTTTCAGTGAAATAGTTCATTCCGTTCTGAATATACTCAATTGATGATGCCAATACTCCTCCGATTGTACTATGTCTAAATGAAAGAAAATCACCACGACGAATATGGATACCAACAAGTATACGATTTTGAGTATTGTGAAGAAGTACATACGACGTCGCTTTCGATAAAATATTATCATTAAATAGAAACTGGTTACGAATTTCTTGTTCATAATCAATAAAATAACGATAACTTTGCCAATAACCGGTTAATTCAAGTGACTTATTATAGACGTTATGTATTAACTCCAAATAAAATATGCAACCTCCATTATTGGCACGTGGAATATTTTTTAATTTTGCAAAATTTTTATCTGACGTAAGACATACATTTGATCCGTTTAGCAAAAATATTTGACGGAGTTCATCTAAATCTTGAGCATGATAGTGCATACAACAGTTACGTTTGCGTGCAATACCGTAGGCAGTTGAATACATGAACATCTTGTTTCCTAATCGACCTTTGTTCTTTCGAACAATAATGACACATCTACCATTTACATGATGATCTTTTACGAATCCTTTAAAAACGGAAAAATGAATGGATTTAAAATACTCCAAATCATTTTCGAACGAAGCACCCCATAAAGTAATCGTAATATCATTAAATCGTGCTATAAGACACAAAAATACGAATGAAATAAATAATATTACACAGCATAACGTCTTCTTATATTTCTTCAATGCACTTATTTGATAAACAATTGATCGCATCTTGTACAAAGTATTCGTTCATTTGATACAATGTATGCTGTTGCGAATCTGAACACGGTACGTAGTGATTGATAAAGGTTATTCTGCAAAAAATAAATAATCTTCTGAAATGAAGAAGTTCCCAAAATTAATAGGAATTTGGTAGTTAAAATAAGACACCAAAACGCTGTCGAGATACCGACGTTGGGACGTGGGCGACGCTAGAATGCAACTTTTGTTGATTTGGCAATCCAAAATATCTGTGGATGTATTGCTTGTTAAGAAAAAAACTATATAATACTAAAACCGTTGTCATTACTGTTTTGAAATCCTTGAACTGTAACGTTCTGTGTCCTCATTTGATATTAAAACATGATTAAAAGGTGGAGATAATATTAAGTACAATTCTCATTGAATACCAGCTAATACAGCTGATAAAAAAAAAGATGGTATGTTGTAGCTCTAGGGATAGATGAGGCCTTTTGAGATAGCGCAACGGTGTTTCAACCTAAGAAGCCTTTTATAAATGGCGGCGATCGATATCTACACTAGATACAAGTAAAATACGACTTTCTCATCAAATTTTCCAATACAAGCTTCTCTTCTTAAACATTCAGAGACTCGAAGAAAATGTTATTCACCTAAACCACCTACACGATATGTTCTGAGTCATTTTCGCTTAGAATATGACGCATAATAGAAGAAGGGAATAAGAAGGGGCGATGTATTATGGTATTATTCATTATTTAATGAATTTACAAAAATTCGACGGTCTATAAAAAGTGTTGGTGAAGATAAAGAAAAGCTTTGTCAAAAAAAATTATTGTTGTTTCAGTCTTTTACGAGTGAAACGTCGTTAATATTAAAATCGGCTGATGTCGTTGCCGTTTTTGAAATTAAAATTTCATTCTCTTAAAACAAAGTAGTTAACAAAAAGTAGTCGAAAATTCGTGTTTTAATAATAAAAAAAATTTCTATGTAAACTTTTAATCATGTTAAATCAAGTTAAGGGTATTTCAGCCACAATTGCACTAAAGTTTTTATAAGAAAAGTAATTCAGCCCTGTGTAATGTTAGTTTTCGAGATAATAAAAAGCTCTGTTTTTGTAAAATCTTCAACGAACTTATTTAAGTTCTCTATATGAGACAAATGAAAAATTCATTCTAAGTTTTCCAAAGTCTGTAAATTTTCCACTGTGCATCTACCTTCAGCAAATCTACGTTCGATAGACGAGTGTAATATCTGATGTATGTCAAGGATGTTACTTGAAAAAGTTCAAAGTATGAAAAGCAAGAAAGCAAAATTTTTTTTCAAGCAGGTTTACTTCAGTGGGTATCTGTAATAATTAAACAATCATTATTCTATCGTATTTTATATCTATAAATAATCTTATTTTTTTCTCCTTATTTTAGAGAATTGTACTCGTATAAGATAATTTTTCACTGTATGTTACTAGATTCTCAGTTTTACATTAAATCTTATTACTTCTAAAACCTCATTGTGCGATTACAATTTACCTAAATTAAAATAAATCTCAAACACTGCTCAAGTAAGTCAAACTTTATTATTCTTTTCCGATAGTCTTCTCTACAGTCTTATTTTTTTACCCGTTAGTCAGCCTGTTTACCTTTCGTAAAACATTAGCGTAGATGAATGATTATACTGTGAGAAAAGGATAGAAGAAAGAATGTTTCTTTCTTTCCTATTCTTCGAATCAAGCAACGTTAGTGTCCTTCTTTTTTTTTTCTTGTTATTTATGTACATTCGAATGCACTAGTAAATATATAAACAAGATGAGATAGGATATGAAGCACATAGTCAGGGTTACTAAATATCTCCCTTAAAGTTCTCCATTTCGAGATTTATCTCCCGCAAAAATTCGTTCTATGGATGTCTCTCTTATTGTAAGAATTTTTCTTCTGAGTGCTTTCAATAGAGTTGTCACTTTCTATTACACTTTTACGTTCAATTTATTTTTATTCATTATTATTTAACATTACAAGCATATAACTAATAATATTTTTAATTTCAGTAGTTCTTTCGATAGTAAAAAAATCAATTATTTTTGTAATATTTAAAGTGAATGACCGTATAATGAAAATATTATTTTTAATAACAGAAGGCAATGACATAAAGGTAAATTGAAGAGTTAAAATGTCACCAACGAATACAATGACAAACGATTCCGGGGTAATTCCATGGAGTAACTACTAGTTTATTCAAGACTTTTTGTTGAATACGCTGGCATCCTATTTAAATGAAAGACCCATGGATAGCATTATTAAATATATCAACTAAAAAATGTTTCGCAATATCGCCATCCAAGATAACCGAATATCGACATGTGGGATTATTTTTGGATTTAGGGGCAACTAGGTTCAGAAAATCTTGTATAAGAAGTAAATTGGAGTCTTAACTTTTTCGTGGATTATATACCAAAAAGTTTGCGCTTGCTCGTGATGTGGAGTTAAAAACTCCAAATTCCCCTGAGTGCTTCTACAAGGCACTCTGAAAAACAGGTTTTGGTCGTTTTTGCAGGTACCACAAAAGAACCAAACAGAAGGAAAAATCAAACCTAAATAGTGGATTAGAATCGCCTGTCTGTGTCGTACAGAGCGGGATTGTCGCCTTTTTTGCGACTTTAGGACCGTTTTTCTCCACAAAATCGAATTCCGATGAACTATCGCATTTTCTCCCGTCATCCTGACCACTAGAACTACTAAAACACACAAGAATTAGTTTTACTGAGAGAGCTTCCAAAGTAACCAAATTCCAGCACGAATCTCACGGAAAATCGCATTTTTCAGACTCATTGATTAGAATTAATCATTGGGGAATTTGAAGAAACATGTGAAATAGATACGGAAAATACATGAGGACAGTCTTAGGAATTCAAGGTTTTTGACAAAACTTAGGTCAAAATAGACATAAATTCGAAAATCCCCAGCGGTATTCGAGTTTTTCTACCTTCATTATAAATATAACTGAATGATTCTTACACCATCGAATACAGTGTAGAAAGACGATTCGAATGCACTATTTTAGTTTGAAGTCTTGTTTTATTTTCATGAAGATATTCCATTTATAAAACAGCTAAAAACTGACTTTTTTGGAAAATTCTGTGGGACATACTAAATAATCCTAAATTTAAACTTTTTTCTAGAAAACTTAGCTCCCTAATCGCAAAGAATCAAAAATGTCGGTATGGGACTCCTATGAGGCCGATGTTTGCGAACTATTTCATTATGATAGTTGCTAATTCTACTCATGGATCTGCTTTTTCAATAGGGTTTTAGCAGAATGTTTTTCTATTTTGTCAACACCACAACTGTTGCTAGTTATTCTCAAGTAAGGAAAGTGAAAACTGTCTTCCACCCTTTTCACAGGCTTTATTAGATACCTCCTTCGTCGATTTCTCTGCACACCTTAATACATTTGTGTTTTATTGAGTATAGCAATACTACACCAAAAGTCCTAACTGTGCAGATTGACTTGAATATTTTTGCTTACTCTTTTGATAAAATCGCTATCATGTTGTTTTAGTTGAGTATGTCCTTTTCGATTTTAAACCTCAGTTAAAATAGGTCGAACATCCCACATATCAAAACAACATAGTGAAAAACTACATATTTTTTTAATCTTTATGTAAATATGACATGCTTTTTGTCAATAATGACAACGAAAAGTGAGGAAGACAGTTTTCACCCTCCTTACTTGAGAATAATTAGGACCAATTGTCGTATTGACAAAAAAGAAAAGCATTCCGGGATCACCTGTACATGATAAATAAAAAAATTGGTTTACACAGGAATCAATAGTGTCGAAAATATTGTTTCGTAAAAAACCGGGATCTTTTGTGCTATCGATATTTAAATTTCGATATACGAACTCAATTATGTCATTTTTTTCGATTAAAAAATGTCATTGTCCTGATTAAATGATGATCAATAAGGAAATGATGTATAATTATATATAGTTTATAGAAAGAATTGTTACCGATTGAATTGAAGGACAAAAAAATTCTTTTTCAATCAGACCGATTCTATACATAACTTTATTAAACAAAGTTCCCGCTGAGAAGTACAAATATTCATCTAACATGCGTTAAGTGTGATATGAAACAAATAATGAATAAAATAGTTAGGAGTGTCATATTCCTATGTTTCTCAAAACAATTACTGTGCGTCGTATGGTTTTACGATGCTTCCTATTATTAAAAGCAGACACTCTACTTTCAGATTTTTAGTGCACGAGTGTGAATAAATACTCATTCTCATCCACCTCTATCACAGACGATACATTCAAGTTGCAGATAATTTATGAAAATCGTATTAAACAACATCTACTTCTTTCTATTTAAAATAACGTTTACAAAAGATATAAATACATTCGTCTTCATTTAAAACTCCGATGTAGACGCTGCTTCATTTGAGAACGATTATGAGGATGCTATTTGTGCTCTTCTTGTCTACCACTATCGTCCAAAAACATACGACATTTGTGTAAAATTCTAAAGACATGTTATGAGGATCTACATACAGCAGTTTAGAAGCATTACGTTATGATATGAGCAAGTTGTTATATAACATACCATAAAAATATGAGAGTTTTGCCCATGCTTTTCCCCTATACAGTGGGCAACAAAATTGATCATACACCCTTCATATTAACTTATGATTGATATTTCTCTGAAACCAAATCACCTGTAAAGTTCGGAGTTTCGCTAAAATGGTGTAAATTTATTG